TAAAGTGGGCTCACTTCATGCAAATTTAATTTATGCGCCATTCTGTGGGAACGCATAAATCAAGGGAAACCTGTAACAGATTTTGGTTTTTTATTAGATAATTTGCAATTTTTTTATCAAAATTTGCGATTTTTTAATTTATTTATTTTTAATCGGGGGGGAAAAAAAACAGGATCCCTGCTAATCACATATATAAAGGAACAGCAGACATCTACATAATATACAAACCTGATATTCTAATACAGTCTGTGTGGCTGTGTTACAGATTTATTTGGATTCATGCTGGATCGTTAGCAGGCACAACACTTAATTTGGATCTGAATAACAGATGACAGCAGCTAGAGTCAAAGTAATGCTGGTGCTCTTAATCCTCAAAATTAATTGCATTATAAACACATACACAGTGAAATCTTGGCCTCATTGCAATCAACAGCAAAATTCTTGAATGGAATAAAATGTCATCTGTGTCTAAGATCTTGCAGGACTCTATGCAAATGCAGATAGTCTCCTTGGAGGGATGGAGAGCTGTGAACTAGGAATTAAGAGGTTATACCTGTTTACACCTCTTCATTTGTAGTTCATAGCACTCCTCCATCTCTCCAAGCAGACTGTTATTTGCATGGAGTCGTTGATGTTTAGCTCAGCCTGCATCTGCTTCTTTTTCAGACTTGAGAGGGCACCTGATGCCCAAAAGTTGTCCAATAGCTCTTCCAACTATACCAACTTGGTCTGCTCTTCCAACTTGGTCCATTAAAAGATGTCACTAGAAAAGCCTTGCCTCTCTTCCTTAGTTCACAATCTGTGACTTGGTTAAGAGGCAAGGAAAGAACTGAATTGTAACACGTTCATTTTCTTGGAAAGTGTCTCATTAAAAGTATGCTAGCAGAAGTTAATATTTGATATACTTTTTGTATATCATGGAGGCAGCCCCTCCTCCTTCCTCCTTGACTGTTTCCTTAATATATGTCTGAAGCTTCCCATTAGACTTCTTTACATAGAAAACAGCAAGTGTTTGCAGTGTACTTTAAAAAGATGTTTAACTGATTACTAGAAACAAGTCTGGCCATCCTGAGATTGTAAGATTTTCCTGGTACACACGAAGAGCCAAATCAAGGAGGAAAAATACTCCATTAAAGGCTTAGTGATGCCTTTATTTATGTGCTTGCAAAGTATGTTTATCAGTGTAAATAACTAAAATGTATAGAAAAAAATCATAAATGTTATAAAATCTAAATTTAAACTCTTAGTTATGGGCTATTTTTTCAGTTTTTGAAAAATTTCCCAGCTAATAATTTTACATGATTAACTATTTTAACTTCCACTAAGAACTGAGGAGGCTGCACAGCATTTGGTAGCAACTGAAAAACTTGACAGCAAATATAGCTAGATTGGCCTAGTGAGATTCATTTTGTTGGCTTTTACTGTATTTCTTATCCATGGTCCAAGAAAACTGTTGTCATTGTTTTCCTAAAGGAAATATTCAACCAGTTATAGACATTTTAAACTATTTATGAGTTCAACATCTGTCCAACAAGCTTGGTTTAAATTTTCAGTCATTGGTAAGGGCTACAAGATGGAAGAAGCTTGCTTTCTCTTCACCTCTGTAGTCTTACGATGTTTTACTTTTTTCAGATAACTAAACAATTACTGTTTGGAAAACAGAAAGCAGAAAAGCCTACATTTTTGACCACCCAGTATAAATGTATCTTTTCCTTTTAATCACTGAAATCTAAACCTTACTGTTACAAAGCTTTTTGAAAAACTGACTTCCATTTGTAGTTTAAGACTATTATCTCTTGGTGGACACTAACTGCAAACATCTCTTAAGTTTGTTCTCTTTGTTAGAACTGTTTGGACTCCTCTTTAAAAACAAACTTTATTTGACCAGTTTCTGGCTTGGTTAAAAAAATATAGACTGTAGTTAAAAGATCTGTTAATTGTTGCCTTTGCCTTAATAGCTTAAAAATTCTTTAGGTGGCAAAGCAAACTTTGTTACTTAGTTATTGCTTAGTAATTTTACATTTTGGTAGGTTAACTAACTTCATGTTTGATGTAGTGCTTTTTCTGTACAATTCTGATGGAAAAATGATCAGTTCACTTTTCTCATGATATTGCTTCTGTAGAGGCACTTTCCTAACTACAGGGCCAAAGAACATTTAAGAAGCCAGTTGTATATATGTTACATACCTCTCAAACCTGATGTGGTACAATATGGTACGGTGTGGTAGAGTATTATGATATGATATATGGCAGTGCAAAAAAGGAAGAGGGAAGCATAAGAATGGATATCCTTTGTGATTTGATTCTAGTAGTTTTAAATGTAGATGGTATTTTAGCAGAGTTGGTGCTAACACTGTGTGTTATATAAAATAATATCATTTGAGTGTGTGTGGGTTAGAGGAATGTCTACCTGCAGCCACAAGATGAGATGAAAGTGCTTTGGCAATAACTCAGAAGTTCAAGAACTGCAGATATTTATAACCTTCACAAAATGCCATATGAAGTTGTTCCACTTAGGCTTTTAATAACTTTGAAAGGGAACTTTTCTGTTTCCTGAGAGCATGGCAACATTGATGGTATTAGCTACTAAGTCAATGCTGTCCATAAAAACTTTTCACTACTGAAGTGAAATTGTAAGGGTGGATATGTATAGCATTAAGGATAAAGGTCTAAGGCCAATCCATCTAATTTTAGCAATAAACCTTTAGGTATGAAAACTGATCAGCTTATACTTAGACAGAAGGGGAACTATTACTGTGAGAAAAAGTGTTACAAAAGCTTTGTTTTATTCATATATATCAGGGGTGGGCAATCATTTTGGGTGGAGGGCCGCTTACTGAGTTTTGGCAAGCCATCGAGGGCCGCATGACAGGCAGCCCAGGGCAGATAAATATTCTTTTCCTGGATTTTTTAGGGGCCCCGTGGGCTGGATAGAATGGCCTGGCAAGCGGCAACCAGTCTGTGGGCCGCATTTTGCCTACCCCTGATATATATTATGTGTGTATGCGTGTGTGTTCACACATATACATATATAAGTATATATACATATATCTATATATAGAACACAAAGGACCATGAAAGCAAATGTGCAGCAATGAAAGGAAGAAAATATTTACTTTATTATTTACTTTAATAATATTTAATGTTTACTTATTACTATTTCTAGATAGAGCAACTGTCCACACACATACATGCATGTTCAGGAGAGGGGGAGGAGGGGAAAGCTTGCCCTGCCATCAGCACCCCGCGCCACCACTACATCCAAGGAGTGGCCTGGGCCCCTGCCCCAGCCCTGCTCCTCGGTGGTGGTGGCACAAGGTGCTGATTGTGCAGCACTGGCCTCCCCCCACACTCCATCCCTTCCATCATGGTGGTGCTCCGCTGTGCCAGTCCATCCCCTATGTCCCCCTTGGCTGGAGAAGGAGTGCCACCATGATGGTGGGAACAAAGCTGGCCAGTGCTGCCACTGCCTCCAAGGAGCAGGGCTGCAGGGGGCAGGGGAATGAGGCCACCCCTTGGACGTGGTGATGAGGCTAGAGCAGAGTGGATGAGGCCAGCGGGACGCCACCAGCACCCCGCACTTCTGCCACCTCCAGTGAGCAGGGCTTGGGAGGTGGGGTGGCTCCTCTGCACTATCCCTTGCATCCCTGCTGTCATGGCGGCGTTCCACCATGCCTGTCTATCCCTTCCATCCCTTTCTGCCTCCAAGAAGCAGGGCTGAGGGTGTGGGGCAGGGGGAGCCGACCCCAAGCCCCTCAGTCCCTGCTGTCATGGCAGCACTCCACTGTGTGGAGTTGGGTCTGGGGTAGGTGCTGCCCAGCCGGGGCGGGGCGGGATGTGGGGTGGAACCATGGCTCATCCAGTTGAGCGGCTCCCACCACTGAGTGCACCATGGCTGGGGCATGTGTCCTGGATCGGGGTGGGGTGGGATGGGCTGCAGCTGTGGGCTGATGGTCGCACCAGGCTCTTCCTGGTGGGGGAGGGGAGGCTGGGCTGCACTGTGCTCATGGTGGGCGGTGGTGTCACTGGGAGGATGGGTTGGGGGCTATGGACAAATTTAGGGTGGCTGCAGCCCTC